CAAAGTAAAAGANATTTACCACAGAAAATATTAGTTTAAATCTTTCGTATTCTAAATTACTAGTAACGTTCAGTCCGTTCAGTGTATTACAATGAAAATGAATTTCAGAACCTAGTAATAAATAAGTGTTGATTTTAGCTTCTTGCCGTTCTTTGTGCACTTGCAACTTCTTAAAATCTAAAAAAGTTAGAACAATGCAAATGATAATAAAATTCAGTACGATAGTATCTATCTTTCACAGTACACAGAAATGATTGATTATGTGAGTGCAATTTATTTTATTTCGATAATTTTGTCGGTTGTTGTTGTTCAGCTTCTAACGTGCTTTATCGTCGGAGAAATATGTCAGAACGCGATTTAATATTGCGGATCATAATATACAAACCAGGCTAGAGATAACAAGTTTCCTCTCCTAAGCAATTATTTTCGGGAGCATTGTACACAAGCATCCTATGTTAAAACACGAACACAAGCACACCTGTTCTACAACAAGAATCACATAACACGTAAAAATTGATAGCAAAGGATTATTTATATCTTCTCGCGTGACGAAGTCGATGGTATTTTTTTAGCTCGCTTTTAATCGGATTCGAGAAAAATTCGATGAAATTTTCGATCTCTCTCGTCGCGATGCGAATTTCCATCGAAGCAACGAACAAACTAATTTATATGTCGCGGCTACGCACGCGGTACGCCGCGCATTATATTTTCTGCACGAAGTTTACATACGGTTAGCATACTTGAATATGTTACGAGAACGCAAACAGTTTGCCAATGAAACCATCCATTACTAACGAGGGAGCATATCGAGTCAGTACACACCGATTTCGATGAAATTTTCGTGGAAAATAGATTTCAGAAGAATTTCCCAGATTTGTATTTATTGAGAAACGATCGAGGGGGCAGTTGAAACAACCCTTAGAGTTAGGGCTTCGGTTTCGGTTAGGTACGAGCTTCTCATTCTTAACTGAAATTTTAACTGTAATAATTGATGTTGATATTTATGTCTTTTGAAAACTATATTTTACTTCGAGAAAATTGTGTGTCAAAGTACTTCTGGATTTTTATGCAATATTATTTAGTCCTTAACCCGAATATGCTACAACATTATATTACAATTCCGCCATGTTCTCATATATGTAGTATTATATCAAATAATTATATATTAAATAATATATCAAATATGTATATTATATATATATATATATATATATATATATATATTTTTACATAAAATAAGTAGCTATTAATGCAAAAACCAATGTCGATCCAGACTCGGCAACACCGTAAAGTATTAAAATTTCACTCAATCAATCACTCAATAGAGAAATGAAGCCTGTTACACTGTGTGTTGACCAATTGCTGTGCCTTTGGTTTGCTTCCGCGCATAATCAACTTTATATTTATCGAATAATTAATGTTTTCTTTATCGAAAAATGAACAAAGTAAAAGAATAAGGCTCCGCTCCGCTAGCATTCGATTCGTTTCTATAATTTTCACATCGTTGTACATTCTTCTGTACCAGCATATAAAAGCACGACTCTCCAAATTAAAGATCCTCGGTCGCATCGTGTTCCCGCAATAGCGCAAATTAGCATAAGTATCCGGCCTCCTAATGCCGCATCGGCATAATTCAGGCTCCCAGGAATCCCGTGGTCGATAAAACAAATGTATCCATCAAACAATTCATGAATATGGAAATTGACGCGAAGATCCGTCCGCGGATAGCGTCCCCTGTAAAACACGAAACTACCCTGTCTCCTCCGTTGTCGTTCCCGGCGATCTCCCCGCGCCGCGCCGACTTGCACGGTTAATCAATTTAATTTCCAAGAGACTCAATCGTCGCCGGCATCCCCAATTAATTCGACGACATGAGTCGTTCCCGGCGCTTGCGGAAACTCGGATGAGAAATTCCCGCGAGAAGACATGATCCCCCGCGCGCGAATTAAAAACGGCCCCGCGGAGGATCCACTTAGCGGCCCACCCCCGCGAATGTGAGCCCGAGGAACGGGTCGCGGCAAAATGCGGAAACGTTGTCTTCGGTTTCGGCGGGGGGGTGGGTAGCAGTGGCGCGGGCGTTGTTAATGGAATTCGATCCGAACCGGAGACGGCACCGAGGCGTCTCCGAGGACAGAGGAAGGCAGAGAAACGCGCGGAGTGGTCGTGTAATTACGCGGCGAAGATTCAAAGATGCTGCCACTGCAGTCTGCTACTTTGTCGCGGGCGCTGCAGGCGTTTCTCGCGCGGCCCCGAGGACACCGGCCCACCCCCTCGCGTTTTCGCCAGCAACCCCCTCCCCCTCCTACCTCTTACCGCTCACAATTTCGCGAGAGCCATGCACGCTTAATCGTCCCGCTTTATTCGACGATACGACGCCGCATTCGTAAAACGGAAGAGCCAACCGGAAACTCGGGCGCGGTTCCGCCACAGATTAAACTCGAGCTTCTTGCGCGCATCGGAAAGGTGGGCGATGTTGTTCCAGGAGATCTCGGAGAATTTTCTACCATCTTGCTTGGTTGCAATTGGTCAGTCTAACGACTAAAATCTCAAGTAAAATAGATCGTTGGGCGGCTGTGTAAGAATGTATTTTATCGATTTTTCTGCTCTAGTCGTTTCCGAGTGGCCGCTTCGGTCACATATGGTGACACTAATTTGTGTCCGGTTTTCAGAATTCGTTTTTGTTGCGAAGTATTTAATCGTTTTTGTAACATTTGTAATATTTTAGCATGCAAATGAGTCAAAATACCGTCCACCATGATGAACTTTAATATTCTAATTTCAGTTGCATTAATTAAATTATCTAAATTTTGTGGGAAATTTTGGGGATAATTTTCGTCACTTAACGCTTTAATTACATCTATCTTCATTTATTATTGATCGAGGTTACCCGAAGGATGTGGTAGTATCAGTTGTAAAATTAGAAAATGTTCGGTTCCATTTAGAAAGCATTATTGACCTTAATCCCAAACCGTACGATGTTCTTTACGGCTACAATGACTATACTTGTCTGTCTTTAGTAATTTTTTAAAAGATAGATAATATTTATTTGCATTCTATGTCCATAGTTTCTTCAATGCATAGATATTGATAACAGATTTTGTTCGAAGTCTTCGTTATAAGTTTGACACGACGTTGAAAGGTCAGCGGTTAAAATCTTGAAGAATATGATCTCGAGAGAATTTTATTGTCTCTCTATCGCAGCATTTACCATTTGGAACCTAAACGCATTTTTCTCAGCCACTTTTTCCTCTTGTCAACAGGGAGCGAGTCAAGCGAAATAATTAACGAAGGGTTCGAGGTCTTTCAATTGTTCATATTTTCAAATTTAAGACATTTCACGATCGTCACACTTGATTCTAGGTATATCCGACTTAACTGTGTCGCCACGTTCGTGAAAGCGGTTTAAGACGGGGGTTGGAAAGCTCGACGTGTTCCGCCGGAATGCAAAGTAACAGAGGGGCTGGAATATTTTACGACAATGGATACTTGAACGCCGTAAAACGTGAATGAAGTAAAAACAGACGAGCAGATTGTAATAGGAATTTATTGCGCGAGGATTTCCTTCCACGCTCGATCTCTGACATCGATGGCGATCATTATGGTCAATGCGTTGTCCAAGCGGCTCTTTCATTTACTTACAACTACACTAGAATATTTCTGCAATGTTTACATCAGTCTTCCATATTGTTATTCCGTACTTTACGAATAAATAAGTACGTTTCCTTTTGTATCAATTATTATAAGTAATTTCTGAGTCGATTGACAGTATCAATTTCATCTCCTAAAGACTATAAAAGAATCAGGGAAGGATATTTTAAGAAGTTATTCATTAGTGTAATATGCATAATAGATTCTAACAGATATAATCCTAATCCTAATAATCCTAATAAGAAATGTCTCAAGACAAGTTACTTCGGAAAATCGCCTCTTATGGCCCAATCAAAACGCAACACTACTCGGCCTTTAAACGTAATTTTGAAACAAGGACTACTTTTATCTGCAACCTTCGGGAGAAATCATAAAACAAATTTTGTCAACGAACCACCCCTTGTGAACTAATTGAACTACAGTCCTATTCGGAGCTCAAAATACCTAAGCAAGAAAGGCTAATATTATCCACATCCTTTAGAAAGACCAAAACAAGCATCAAAAGACTCTGTCTAACAAACCTTAACACCAGTCATTCCACAAAGCTTACTAAATCGATCGCCAATACTTGTATCCCTAGGTTCAAAGAAAAACATAAAGAAAGCCAATATCAACAAATCGCCAGACGATCGAGCAGCTTATCAATCCCCAATCAGCAATCGAAGGCAGGGGATTCGCGTCACGTCTAAGGTCACCTAGCCCGAAGACGAAGCCCGGATCTTCCCGTTCATCAGTCTCTTGGCTACCCTTGGCAGCCCAGCGTTCCTTCCACCCCAAAAACGCTTTCGGTCGAAGCGGTTCGTTCTCCGCAGCCTATCGACTCCGGAGGGCGCATAGCGTTCGTGCCACGGGAACGATAAAAAAGGATCTGCCGGACGCCGGATGATCCCGGGGGGTGTAAAGGGGGTGGCTGGGTACGTTGGTCCGAGGAGGCAACCCTCGACACGAATTCTACGTGCGTGGGAGATCCCGTAAGATCAGGATCCCCGGCTGTCTTAACCGGCAACACGCTGGATCCCCTCTTGGCAAGCCCAGAAGGTTACCATGACGACCAACACGTGACGTAACCACCCACCACCGTGCCCGCTGAAACAAATGAAGGCACGTCCTCCTTCGTATACCTCCTGGTCGCCACCTCCTGGCTCCTCTTCGTCCCTCTGCCCTCTGGCACGCTGTCCTCCTTCCGCGCGCTCTAGACACCCCCTTCTCGCAACCCTCCCCGCAGCCCCCCTCGCCGTCCCCAGCGCTCACCCCGGCCTCTCCGCCTCAAACCGCCCCCGTCGCTCTTTGCCTTTGCGATTCCCAGCCTCTACTTGCGGGATCACCGCGAGCAAGTGGTCCAAAACGTGGGATGGAAGCCGGCGCAAAGGAAAGGACGAGGATGCTGCCAGGCGAAATTACAAGGACCTGCGCTAGGTCCTCGGGAAACTCCGGTATGAAGTCCTCGTTGCGGGGAATATGCAGCCCGTACGTAGCGTCGGAAGTTTCTATTTTACGGGATCTGTTTCTCGAGGGTGTGCCGCACCGTGCCGCGCCGGATCCGTGGAATTTCAAGGCGCGATGGAGATCGAGGCTCTTCATGCTGGTCGTTCCCCGGGTTGCAAACGGGCTGCCCCGGTGGGGATCATCTGTTCGAGACTCGCTTAGGACGCACCGCTCGGAAACGCGTTTCTCGATCTCCTCGGTTATATTGCCCGCAAGAATTTCCTCGCGGGTTTTTTTTTCAGAAATTTTCTTCAACTTTTGAGAACGCACCATCCCCCTCTGCTCTCTTCCGAGTTATCGTCACACGTTATGTTCCCGACGTTACTTGAATAATCTGCAAATACAATTTCAGATTAGTATTAAAGTATTTGTTTATCGTTTTATTCATCAACCGTTGATTTTGCAAGCCAGACAAGCGAATGATGAAACTATACGCAGCTACAAATAAAAACGATTTGAATGAAATAGCAATTCATCGAAGCAATTATAAACGCGATTGACGATGTTCCGATCAGTCGCTCATTACCCTAGTCAATCGGCTCGAGCACGCTGCCCCGAAGCAGTAATCAGTCGGAGGGTGGCATGCCGCGGTTTAATAAACCGAGGGTAGTTCGCGACACAGCGAGCGATAAAAAAGTTTCTCCATATGTTTTACGATCGAGGCAGCCCGGGCGGTGTATTCAATCTTTCCGCCGGTTGCGTCGAAGGATTAGCCCCGCAAAGCCCTGGAGATCCGCGGTACTTTCATCTCCTTTATGCGGCTGGTTGGGGCTTGATTCGCCGCGAAGAAATCGCGCGAATTTAAGACGCTCGCGGGATACTCGCGGCGCGCCCGACGTATTCCTCGCGGAATTCTGGGAACCTCGAATTCTGGTCTGCTCGACAAAGAGAATACAGGGGCGAGGACAACGAGTATTTGCCGAGGGGTAGGGAAGAAGAATCGTTCGAAGAGAACGATCGAGACCGAGACGATCGAGGCGTGGACGACGGAAGAGAAACGGAAAGAAGCAAAAAAAAGGGGGGCGGCGATCGAGCAGAAGAACCGATGGACGAGTTTAATCAGCGACAACTGCGCGGACCGAGAATTCCGCTTCCCTTATCCCGACCTCGAATCACGAAGTTTGGGAAGAGGGGTGTCCCTCGCGCGGAAGAAATCGCGTGGAGAAGCTCCGACGCCGGAATGAGATTCGGAGGGTGGAAAGAAAGTGGGCAGTCGGAGGAACGAAGGTTCGACAGGGTGGGAAAAAAAGGGGGCGAGAGACTAGGAAAACCTTTCCATCGCGAGGACTTCCGTGCCCCCTCCCCCCTCCCTTTAACCAGCCGACCCCCGAGGGCTCTGTGATTCGAATTTCGACCACGCGCCCTCTCGTTACGTATTCCCGGCGAAGGGCGCCGATGGAAGTCCGCCGGAAGCTAGGAAATGCCGGAGGAGAACGGCAAAGAGAATAGCGGGAGACCGTAAAAAGAAGTCGTGAGAATCGAGGCGTGTTGCGAGCACGGAATTGAATCCTTCTTCGGGGCACGCCGACGAAGGCGGTGTGCACGGGCCAGGGAATCAAAAGGGCGTCTTCCATCAAAGAAACTGGAACATTGTATCCGTTTCTTCCGAGTTCTGTCTGCCCCGACGACCTCTCCGTTTCCTTCTCCTTCTTCCTACCCGACTAGTCTGCTCGAAGTTTCGGTGCAGGATGGTCCTAGTTTTACGCGAGGACACCGAGCGCGCGCGTCAAAGGGCGCCTCGGAGTCTCCGCCTCGAGCGGAGCCCATCGAACCTCGCCCGGAAAATAAGGGCCAGCCCGGCGAGAGGAAATAAAAAGCGAATTTGTCTTCGTTCCGACACCTTGTGAAATATTGGACGCGCGCCCGGCATCCCTGACGAAGTCGAAGACCCCGTTCGATTTATTCCGGATATTCTTGATCCTTTCTGTCGCTTTGTTTGCAGCCGGCGAGTAGTCGAAAATTTTACGCTTTGCTTGACTTGTTTAACGAGATCGGAGATGGAAGTCCTTGTTTTAATGAATCCGCTGTGTAAAGTCTTCTGTCTGATATTTTCCATTGTTCCGAGATTTTTATTTAGAAATCTATGAAATAATGCCTAACTGTTAGGCCACTCTTCTTTTAATTTAGAATTTGTTATGATATTTTTTAATCGAATAATGTTCGTAATTTATATATAAGACGTTAAAGTCAATGTTGCGTCTGACTTGACAGCATCGTAAATGGTTAATGACCCTTTTTATTTATTTGTATGATGCAGATTGGAGTTAATATATTTCTGCAAAACTGATAGCACGATTCCTTGAGCAGTGATGTGGTAAAAAAAATGCGTATCACGCGAAGGAACTTTCTATTAACCAATTATTATTAGATTACATATTGACATAAATTTATTTCTGCAAAACTCGTAGCAGAATTCTTCGGTCAGTGATGTAGTAAAACGTTTATTCTACAAATAAACTTTTTCGTGTTATTATATTATCACTAAATTGCAGATTTGAACAAAAATGACTCAAAAAAGAAACGGTAGAAAGATTAAAAGAATTCGAGAACTTGAGAATTGAATCCTGTTTCTCATAATCGATGCATTAGTTATCGCTACGAGTTGAAAATCGCTTAACGATCGACGATCTTGAACGGAATCTCTGGTTCCCACCGTGGAAACGCCATCGGGAACAAAAATCTCGACTTCCCGACTCGTTCATCGGTCTCATCCCTTATCTCTCGGAACGGTGCACCCTCCACTCGAAAAATTGGCTTCCGCACTGTCGACCTGCTCTCCGTTTCCATCCCCCGATTCTCACCGGCGGCGATCATCTATCTCAGGTACACATCGACTCGCGCTCGTGCGTCTCCCGATCCACGGGGGTTGATTTTCCTACCTGGCCACGAACTTCCCTCTGGTAAACGCTTCTCTGTGTGTGCGTGAATCTACCTTACGGGGAGTCGCCGGATGATTTTTTTTCCCACTGAAAGCGGCATCACCTGTGCCGTTTTCGGGATTACTTTTGTCGGTTTTCAGCGGCGGCCGACACCCCTGTCGAGTGAAGAGTGTGCTGGGGGTAAAATCGTAAATATCGACGCGACAGAATAAGAGAGAGAGAGAGAGAGAGAGATTGAGGGAAGGTCGACGCCGGAAAGAGCACGGGGCACCATCGGGACAATGGGGAAACAGCGTTATTGGCTTTTCAAAATGGTATTTACCGAAAATAACCAATTTGAAGGGATAATGCCGCGACCGGCGACACCCGGGACACAAACGTTGTTCCCGGCCACCCCTTTCGAAGCAGCTTCTACCCTCCTCCCCGTCGCCTAACCGCCAACCCCATAGCAAGCCAAGTTGCATCGACGTGCATCCACTTCGATCGTCTACGCTCGGTGCTAATTATTTCGCGATTAATTGGAATCCGGAGGGTTCGACTCGTGCGCGATCCGTTTCTCTCGAACCTGTTCCCTCCCTTAAACCCCCTCCGGCGAATGTCAAGAGAACAAGGTACACGAGGATCATCCGGGTTTTGTGACAGGAGCTTATGTGATTCCATTCAGAACGCGGTTTACGTATTTTGGGAGGTCGTGCTATTATGGTATTGCGAGTTTCTTAATTGTTCATTCGTCCTTCGTGTTTTGGGTTCCGTGACTCTTTCAGGTGCTGTGGCAGCTCTTTTTCAAAAGTTTATTAACGAATAATATTTATTACAATAACTAAACGTTTATACGAAGTTTATCCCTTGCTCTATAATTCGTTACGAAGAATCAATACATAATCCATTAAATAGAAATCGAATTCTACCCTTCTGTCATCTCTATTAATATATTTAAACGCTGAAGGAAAGATTAGCAAACAATAAATGTAAATTATCTATGTCGCGAACGAATTTATTTAAGACAAAAAAGTGCTAGTCAACGAGCTGCGAAAGAAATCACGGTGCAGAGGGTTAAAGAAATTTGATGTAACTAATGATTAACTATTTCCTTCGTTACTATCACGTGCAAGGGAAATAATACTTCGATCTGATCGTCTAAATAAAATATACATAAAGTGTTTCCCAATCAAGAAAATTGGTCTCCACACAAATATTTTCATATTTTCGAAAGGAAAACTATAAAAACCTAATCAATACTATTAATTTTCTATGCATCGATTTGTAAATTATATAAAATTAGAGTAGATAAACAGCACCCTCCTGCATTATGTTTCATCGGTGTATTTCATCGTCTGGAAACACATATCGATCAATAACGACGAATTTATCACCGAAAATTTTATCAGAAAATCTCGAGTCATGAGAAAGTTCACCACCGGAGAACAGCGAACTCGCGGAGATTCCAGAATGAGCAACGTTCTACCAAAACTGAAAACGTTCTAAGAAACGCCGCTTCTTCGCAGTCTGAATCTCTGACGAGCTGTTCCCGCGAGGAGGTCGGTTTTCCGGCGGGGGTGCGCGTTTCTCCCTGGAAGCGGAACTTCGCCGGTGCTTTGCCTTTTTAAAACGAACAAAAGAACGCCGACACGTCTTAAATGAACGCGCTACTTGTTGCTCGGAGAAAAGGGGGGTGGAGGTCGTCGGCGGTGAGACGGCGAAGCGGTGACGGTGGACTGGGGGCGTAGGGGGGTAGCGGCGGTGAAGGAGGTGGTGCTGGAAGTGCGGAAGAGAAAAGGGGGTGGCAGAAGTTGGCCCCCGTTGGTAACGCGGCCCTGGAGGGGGTTAACGGGGCGAGAGGTGCTGGGGGTGGGCCGCTGGCGGCGGCACCGTCGACGGAAAACTGTTTCTCTTTTGTTTTTATCATCTGGAGGAGCCGCGGCGGTGGGGGCACGCGAGGAAGTCGCAATTAAAAATGTAGTTCAAGGCCGTCGCCCCCGAGGGGGGAGGTGGTTTACCTTGAGCCCTCTTTCTCTCGTTCTCACTTTTCTCTCAGCCCCTTTTCCGTCTTGCTCTGCGCCTCTCGCACCCCCTCTCGCGGCCTCTCTCCTCTCCTCTCCTCTCCACGCAGCTCTCGCTACGGTTTCTCGCGCCGTCGCGGCACGCCGCGCCGCGCCGCGGAGATTTTCACGTGGCTCTGCCCCCGCGTTGCTTCCCCAACCCCCCGTCTCACCCTCTTCGTTTCTTGAGCTTTCTTACGCGTCCGAGAACAGCCTTTCGGGAACGACGCGGAAGTCGCGGGATTATAAGACCACGGCGACGCCGACGGGGGATCGAGATTGTCTTAGCGCGTTCTTTCTTTGACGACCCAGCCCTTGATACCCCTGACCTTCTTATCTTCCGCTTCGCTCGGCAACGGCGAGATCTTAACGCCTCACCTACCCGTGATTACCTTTTTGGAAAAATACGATTCGCT